ATGACTACCCCGCAACCCATGATATGAACTCTGATAAAAGGCTTGATGCAAGAAGCTCCCAACTCCGCTCCTGGAACCTGTGTGTTAGGGATGAATGAAGCTAGGGAGGGTTGAAGCTAGAGATGGATGGTGCTAGGGATGAATGAAGCTAGGGAGGGTTGAAGCTAGAGATGGATGGTGCTAGGGATGAATGAAGCTAGGGAGGCATGGAGCTAGGGATGGATGATGCTAGGGATGGATGAAGCTAGGGAGGCATGGAGCTAGGGATGGATGAAGTTAGGGAGAGATGATGCTAGGGATGAATGGAGCTAGGGAGGGATGAAGCTAGGGAGGGATAATGCTAGGGAGGGATGGAGCTAGGGAGGGACGGAGCTGGGGAGGGACGGAGCTGGGGAGGGATGGAGCTGGGGAGGGACGGAGCTGGGGAGGGACGATGCTGGGGAGGGACGGAGCTGGGGAGGGACGGAGCTGGGGAGGGACGATGCTGGGGAGGGACGGAGCTGGGGAGGGACGGAGCTGGGGAGGGACGGAGCTGGGGAGGGACGATGCTGGGGAGGGACGATGCTGGGGAGGGACGGAGCTGGGGAGGGACGGAGCTGGGGAGGGACGGAGCTGGGGAGGGACGGAGCTGGGGAGGGACGGAGCTGGGGAGGGACGGAGCTGGGGAGGGATGGAGCTAGGCCCTGGGTGCTTGGGATGGACGTGGGGTCTGAGAGGGGAAGAAACAATGAATGCAGTGGAAGAGGAACAGGAAAAGGGGGTGGAGATTGAGGAGCAAGGAAGGAAATTAAGAGAGGACGCTTAGGTAAGCAGCAGTGCTACCTGGCTTCTTGTGGCTTTGTGGGTCCCACCCAGAACCGTCTGGACCTCAGCTCCGGCGGTGCGGGGCTGGGTCAGCCCCTGCCCGTCGTCCTAGGCACTCTTCCTGTGCACAGGAGGGAGTGTCCAAACAATCAAGTGAAAGACAGTGCCAGGGTCAGAAATGGGGTGAGCTTTGGAGGTGGCTGAAATTGCTAGAAATGACATATAAACACATCAACCGTAATACTGTTTCTTTCTTGGTTGAATTTTTTTTTAAAAAAAACCTTCATGGTTTTTACACACGATGCATTACATGTCTTGTTATGAATATTCTGAATGGGCAAAAATTACACCCAATATTTACATTAAATATATTAAAGCTCATTCATAAAATCTATCATTATAGCATACTTTTAAAGCACATTTTAACAACTTGGTTTGCTTATATATTGCAAGCTAAAATGAAGTGAATGCATCAAAATCTTACATTTATGCTTTGTTACACTACAAAATGGGAAGAAAAATGAGTAAACATCCAGCATATTTTTGAGAATGAATGTTAATACACTTTTGCTAAAATATATATGCATGATTTATGTCTATTTCATAATTTAAATTAGCTGCTTAATGATGTGGAGCTGCTATCTTCTCTTTATCCATTTACCAATGCAATTTAATTTCAGGCAGAATCAAAGCATGTTTTCCAGACTCAACTGCATGTCCTTAGGAAAACACGTCCTCCAAGTGAGAAGGAAGATGATCGGTAGTTCTCTACCTGAACCCACGGATTTTTATTCTTTATCTTAAAGGAAACTCAGTTTCATTTCCATCAAAATCCTCTACTTAGAGATGGGTAAACAGGGCCACGAAATCTTCAGGACATTGTAAAACAGGACACAAGGCAAGGCTGGGCATCCCGAATGACTGAAGGTAAAGGTTAGAGACCAATGGGAGGTAGAGCTTTGCTTTTGTGAGACAGAGTCTCGCTCGGTCGCCCAGGCTGGAGTGCAGTGGTGCAATCTTGGCTCACTACAACCTCTGCCTCCTGGGTTCAAGAGATTCTCGTGCCTCAGCCTCCCAAGTAGCTGGTACTACAGGTGTGCACCACCATGCCTGGCTAATTTTTTATGTTTTTAGTAAAGACGGGGTTTCACCATGCTGGCCAGGTTGGTCTCAAACTTCTGGCCTCAAGTGATCTGCCCACCACGGCCTCCCAAAGTGCTGGGATTCCAGGCATGAGCCGCCACGCCTGGCCAAGCTGGGGGTTCTTATTTGGTCACTCATTACAGGAAACACATGCCTTTCAGTCACACTCATTCTTAACCACCTGTCATCAAGTCAGAAGCAGGTGAGGTAACAACAGTCATTCTGAATCTATAATTCACAGGGCCCTCAGTAGGAAAAGGAAGCAGAGCTTGGTGCAGCTCTGTGCTTCAGGGTAGCTGGTGGTTTCAATTAAGGCCTGTGTGTTCAAGGCCCTGAGATTTCTGTTAGCAGAAGAAAAAATGCCTAAAAAATCAGCTCTGAAGTCCCAGGCCGAGGCCCGGGCAGAGTCCCACAGACCTGGGTCCAGCCCCTTCCCAGGACTATGAACGATGTGGGAAGGGCTGGGTCTGAGAGATGCTCAGCCTACAGTCAGGCTGAGGGGGAAGAAATGGCTTTATTTAGGCTGGGGAAAACAAAGCTGATCCTTATAAGAAATACGAAAACAGTCGTTTCTTGACCATGATAGCTACCAGGCATAACTGATTAAATAGAAACACTTGCAAACTTCCCCAATTAACAATGCCTTTAACTGTTCCATCTTTTCTTCACAACCTATCAAGTGACAGGCTCCCCACTCTTTCTGGACTGGAAATTTGGTCTTACATGGAAAGCATGACCTCAAAAGGCGACGAAGTGGAGACAAGAAAGGGACATGACAGAATCAGGAGCCCAACTAATTTACAAGATGGAAAAGTACCGTTGAATAACCAGCAATGGCTGTACCTCTCCAAACTCACGAGTGGATGTGGGAACCACCCACATGTGGACTGGATGAAACGCTGGGAGGACGTAGATGAGACTTACTGCTGGGGAGAGAGGACGGATAAAACCCTGCTCCTTGGGCACAGAGCTCAGGACACCAGGCAGCTTCCTGTCTGGAGCGTGGGAGAAGAAATACTTCAGGGAAGAAGTAAAGACATCTTGATGCAACTCATGGCAGCAAAAGCCAGACTCCTGGGGACGGAAGGCCTGCTTGGCCAGCAACGCCAGCGAGAGCCCTTCAGCAACTTCCCGAGACCCACCTGGCCCCACTTCCTCCACCTGTTGGCCACGCCACAGCAGACAGGGCTCCTGAACATGCACCCTCACGCGGCCTCTTCGGCCTGTTCCTCCTGGTCATGTGGAAGGCTAGCGGGACTGGACAGCCCGGTGGGTAGGCAGGAAGCGTCACACATTAAGGACTAGAGTCTGCGTCCCTGGATGACACGGAGTCCTAAGGCCGGGAATGACAGCAGTGTTACTGGTCCTTCCTGACTCTGCGGCTCCTTCGCTTGGTCAGTTCACTTCCATGAAATCAAGCCAGCCCCAACAAGACAATCTCTCTGATGTATGCCCTATGTTAGGTACTAAAACTTACCCTTTCCATTTTTTCTTTTCTACATGGGGCAAATTCCCTTAGTCAGAGGAAGAAACAATTTTAATACTAGTAAGACTAAAGGCCAAAAACACTTTATACTAAGAAAAGATAAAAATCTCTATCAATTCCGGGATAACTCAGAGTAATACGGACCAATTCCCTACTTGGAGAAAGGTAAGGATGATAAAGGACAGAGCCCAGAGAATAAAGAAAGCCGGTGTCTGCATTCCTTTCTGCACCCTCCCCAGAAGCAGGGCGGAGTTTTGAGAATAAAGAAAGCTGGCACTCCTGTACCCCTCCAAAGAAACACAGTGGAGTTTTAAGGAAAAAACACACAAAGAAGTGGAAAGATTTGCTTTTACTTCCAGCCTTTTTAGTTCATCTACTTACCTACTAGTATCACCCAAGTTAAATAGAATGTGTATTTAAACTTCCTGAGACTTCTATAGGAATTATTATTTTATTATTAATCAGGCCTTTGCATCTCTTGTGCCACTGGTTTTAAAGACTTTCCAGCTCCAATCTGGCTCTGGGTTTCCTGACAACCAGGACCATTCTCTGTGGCTCACTGCCGCAGCCAACGAATGCTGACAACCAAACCTGCAGCACGCGGTGGCATGAGACTTTCCGGCCAGTGATCAATCCGGAAGACAGTAAGAAAACCAGCAAATACAGCTGGTACTAGATAGCAGCCGCCATTCTAATCAGCTTACACATGGCATCATTTAATCTTCATGACACCCCAGGAAGCAAGGAGGACTGTCATCTCTGTTTTACCAATAAGGACGCTGGGACACAGAGATGTCACATCACACCCCCAAGGCTACAGTCCATGGGGGAACCAGGATGTAACTAGGGATGCCTGACAGCAGGGCCTGGGCTTTCAACAGCTGCTTACACTGCCCTCACGAGACACCTGCCAGGACTGTTTTCTATTTAAGAAGAACATGAGAGGTTTCAAACATATTTGCAAGGTTCTCCACTTAGAGACATGCATCGCACAAGGCTACAGTGCTGCAGACGGCTCTCCGTGACCCACCCTCTCCCTTCCCAACTGTTTCTTTCTTGTCACCCTCCTAGAATGGCGCAGTGTTTTCCAAACAATGGTGGTGACTGTGACCCAAAGGATGAGCCACAAGCAGATTTTTTAAATGAATTACATCAGATAGAGACAAATGGGAAATGTCAGGGTGTGCGCCATGTGGCCGGATGCATTTGGCTTCACGGTGCTGAGTCTCTGCGCATCAGGCCCCAGTATGGGATGGCTCTTCCCTGCGGAGCGCAGCTTGGGAGTCGACCACTGGCCCCTGCACCGAATTGTGCTGCCTTGACAGAGCAGGTGCGGGACAAGTGGCTGCTGAATGTACAAACGGACGCACCACAGAGTGCTCCAGGTCAGGGCATCGGTAAATCTGAGTGGGAGCATTCCCTAAGTCAAGGCTTGTTGCTAGGTACTTAATTGCTCTTTCAAAACTGGATAAATAAGGAAAACTGCAGCCACCAAATTATGTATACACCAAAGCAAACCAGAGCAAAACACACACAAACATACAAACATCAAACACCATGGCCTTACCCCTGCGCCCAGGGTACACGTGCGGGTAGTACTCGTAATAAAGATCTGGCTGATCAAGGTTTCCAAAGGGTTCAAATTCCATCTCAGCATTCTGGAAGAGGCCCAACTTCACTAGCAGCGCCAGCCTCACAAACCAAAGCTAAAAACACAAAACACAATGGAAATAAGAGATTATCTACATATATCCAGTTCAGAAATTCCTGTTCCTTATGAAGTTGGTGTTAGAGGTTAATTTCTCAAATATTAAAATGAGGGCTAACCTAACTTTCTATCTTTGCGTATTTACACAATTGTGTTTAAAAAATTATTCTTGAGGCTGGCTCATGCCTGCAGTTCCAGCTACTCAAGAGGCTGAGGTGGGAGGATCACTTGAGCCTGGAGTTCAAGTCCAGCCTGGGCAACATAGTGAGATCCTGTCTCTAAAAAAAAAAAAAAAAAAAAAAAAATTACTATTGAGCTTAATAACAATGTGAATGATTTTATGTAATTGTTTACTCAATAAGTAAACAGTGCTTATTGAGCAGGTGTGCGTGCAAAGCACTGTGCTACATGTCATGAAGATGAAAAGGCACCAAAGGAATGTGCCACCTAGCTGGGGGCGGGGCGGGGGCAATGGGAGCAGGAAGGAGGGAAGCGAAGGGCTGGCTCACTGCCTTTGAAGGCAGCTCTCAGGGCTGTGGAATTTCAAATGGCCACAGGCTACGGAAGGGTCTGCTGGTTCAGGGAACGTCAGGACAAAGGCACAGAGTGGACAGAAGGCAACGTCTGAGGGTGCAGTGTGCTCTGACAGCATCTGGGGTGCATTAGAGAGCTGCAGAGCCAGAGACTTTTAGGATTAAAAGGGGTTCCTTAGAAATGACCTAATTTGATCTGACTTTACTGATGAGAAGAATGAATTTCACCAAGTGTCTGCTGAGGACGGACGGGTAGATGAGGCATGCCACACGACGGAATGGCACTCGGCTTTCACGGAGGCAGCCCCATCGTTGGTGATGGGGATGAGCCTGGGGGACGTGACGTTAGATGAAACAAGCCAGGCGCAGACAGACAAACACCGCGTGATCCCACTTACACGTGGAATCTGAAAACGCTGAACTCACAGAGGCAGAGTAGATGGCCGGTGCCGGGGCTGGGGTGGGGAGTGGGGCAGGCAGGGGAGGTTTGAGAGATGTTAGTTAAAGGAAACAAAATTCAGTGAGGCAGGAGGAATAAGCTCAAGAGATCCACTGCAGACATGGTGACCACAGTTACAAACGCTGTACTGTATACTAAAAATCGCTACACACTCACAGCATGAGAGACAACACATGTGATTTAGTCATTCCACAGTGTATACGTATCTCGTCATGGTCTGAGGGTCTGCACACAACATGAGAAGATGAGAGTTCGCATGGGAGGCAATGGGAAGCCATCCAGCTCTTGACTAGCTTCATTTCAGACTGGCTCCTAGTGTAGACCTCGCCTGCCCTCCCCCCGACCCCCAGCCTCAGCAACCACCAACTACTCTGCTCCTGGGACTTCGGCATTTTCAGATTCCATGTGTAAGGAGGCTGGTTCATCCTCCTTAGGCAGCCTGGTGGTCCCTGGCTCCTGGGAGGTCATCATATTGGGGTTGGGTTAGTGCCGACACCTGACCAACAAAGTGCACCACAGCCCGGAACTCCGGGCCCAGGTGACCCTCCCGCCTCGGTCTCCCCAGTGGCCGGGACTTCAGTCACGTGCCACTGTGCCGGGCATAGTTTTTGAGCAGGAAAGTGAGACGATCAAAACTGTGATTTAAGACTTTTTTGGAGGTAGTCTATGGAATGAATGTGAATAAAGAAACCTGAAGTAAGTTCCTATAGGAGGCTGAAGCAACACTGCAATGAGAGCTTCAACTGCAGGCGGTGGTGAGAGAAATGCTAGAAAAACAGTCTAGGATTTAGCAAACCAATGGATGGACAGGTGATGGCAGAAAGCGCGTTTAAAGCTAGAGCGGCTCTTCTTGTCAGCTCTTGGGGAAGAGGGAGAAGGAGGAGGAGCCTGCTGAAAATAGCTAAGCTGTCAGGGCTCCCCAGAGCTGCTCCTTTGAAAAGCTCCTCACAGTTCTGAAGGACCTGATGATCAGTTCGGTCCTGGAGGATTCCCATGTAAGCTAAAAACTTCCCAGGGAAAGGTAAGACTTTATCAACGTTTGTGGCTGTTCCTTCTCATCAGATGAGTTTCCTTTTGTTCATGAATCTACTTTGTGCATTCCTTTCTCTTTTTTTTTTTTAAATTTCAGAGCAAGTGATATTATACCAAGAGGAGCCAACCCATGGCACATGGACCTCTGTCCTTGGGGTGTACAGAACCAGCTGCTCCTGCACCGTTTCCCACAGGCTCAGACATGCCTCGGAGTCCCGCTCGGGCCAGCTGCTGCTGCCAGTCACGAGGTGAACCCACCTGCTGACCCAAAGCCATGCCGGTCCCGCCATGAGACTGAGTGTGAGCACCCATGAGTGTGCTTCCGGAGCACACACAGGCGTCCTGACAGTGCACAGTGAGAATTCCAGTGCCCGAGTATGGTATCAGCAGACTTAGGAGAGAAAGAAGCAGGATGTAGAAATACACTTTCTGTTATTGGCATGAAAGGCCACGGTCCTGTCCATGTCCCCACACTGTGATGAGCCAGGTTAAGCGACAGCACCTGAAAGGTGTTCTAACCTGCAGTGAGTCTGTCGTGTGGCTGGTGGGCAGCCCGCTCTTGCCGTAGCCCTGGCCATGGGCGGTGAGGAGGCGTCCGCACAGGTCCACTGCCGCCCTCCAGTTTCTGCAGCTCTGCAAGACAGGGCAGACACGTGACCAAACACACACGCAAGGCGCGGGAGAACACAGACCTGGACGCACGGCCCCAGGACACAGCCGCTCACCTCGCTGCAGGCAGTCCCAGCCAGCCATTAGTAACCACGACAAGGTCAGTGTGCTGGCGGCATGGAGGGAATGCCATTTGTCAACGTTGCACGTGTAATTAGGCAATGAGCGCGCCAAGCCTGAGACACAGTTCAAGCTGATCAAATCATAAAAGCATGAAAATTTAACAACTGATAGAACGTTGGGAGGGGCTTCTTATTGGAAAGCTCCCCACATCTCTCAATCTATGTGACTGCTTTCCTTGTTAGCAAGATTATCTTGTGATTTCTGTCAATTTAAGATCAATAAATTTGATGCTGTGTTGGATATATTTATTTGTATCTGTAAGATCTGCATGTGACTCTAAGAAGCTCTATATATTCATAATTCTAATTTATCAATATGAAAAAAATCAATGAACTATGTGAACACAACATGTTCCAGGCCCACGTGGCAACATGCAGCGGACTTTCCCACCAATAAACATTACGCTTCCATGCGGGAAGGCGGGCTGCTACTGACACACTGGCGGGGTCCTGTAGACTCCTGTGTTTATCTCCACCCTTATGCAACAGAAAAGGGAGGGCCATTAGGCAAATGAATGGGAAAATAAGATCAGAATGTTTAAACCTTTTAAGAAGCTAAAAGTGGACGCTCACCGTCTTTTCTCAATGTAACAGGCACTGTTGTCACACCCTGTACATGTCCTCGTTTCTGCAGCCAGTCAGTAAACAAGCTTTAAGCACCTCCTGCCTGGCAGAGGCCGCAAGGCTGGTGGGGAGGTTACTGAATGAACGCTGTGTCCTTGCACTCAGTAGTGGTACGATCCAGTGAGGGAGACAGACAAACAATATGTTTCTCAAGAATTCACTCAATGATTTTGTGTGTGTGCCAAGCGCTTCTCTGACAAGAAGTTTAAGAGTTTGTGTATTTTAAAAACGTGAGGTCGGGCCTGCCACACACTTCCACACACTAACTCACACACGTGCTGCGCCCTCTCTGCACCTCCTGCACTCCACGCCAGGACACGGGAAACTCGGGCCCTGCTCATGAAGCGCCTGGGAGGGAAATGAACTCAGCTTTGCCCGAAAGTTGCTCTGCTGTCCTTTATTTGGGCGTCCCCAGGTGGGAGCTAAGGGCTTGCTCTGAATCCCAGCTGCAGTGGGGGCTGTGCCGCAGGCAGGAGAGGGGGGCTTGCGTCTTCTGGGGCTCTGACACTCACACTGCAGGCTCAGTGATGGCTGCGTTTACAGAGCGGGGGTCATCTGTCCCACCTCACAGATGTGACCATCAGAGAAGATCTATGGAAGTGCTGAGCACAGTGCCGGGCACGAGGCAGACATTAAAAATGTGGACAGTGCTGCTACAAATTCCCAAACTGTCCCTCCATAAATCCAGCGTCGGCGTGCGTGTGCCTAGTGAAACCGCATGTGTGAGGGAAGGAACTAGTGCTGGGCCCGCAGCATCAGACAGGTCAGGCTCTATGAAGACCAGCCGTGTGACCTGCCACAAGCCGCCAGCTGTCTCCGGGACGCAGGCATCTCAGCTCCTCCAGGTCTTCTCAGGGGTTGAGAGTTTGTCTTTCTTTTAAAACGCTGAACATTCTACTGTCCAGATTACCAGTTAGTTTATCCGCTGACCTACGGAAGGACCTCTTGGTTTTGTCTAGTTTTTGGCAACTATGGATAAAACTGCTATCAACATCTTTGGGTAGATTCTCGTGCCAATATGAGCATTCAGCATGACGGGCAGAGATATCCAGGAGCCTAATACAGTGACCAGATTGCTGGGCTGTTTGTGAGAGTCTGTTTAGTGCTTCGGGAAGCCGCCATGCTGCCTTCCTAAGTGGCTGCCCATCCCGCCTTCCCCCAGCAGTGAGGTCCCGTGGGGCCGGCACATCCCAGCACCGGGTGTCGTTGGTGTGGTTTTCAGCCGCTCTGACCGGCATGCGTCTCACCGTCAGGTGGGCGTGCCCACCGTCTCTCTGTTTCTCCTTTCACTGTACCTGCCACAGCCTCACCGTGAGTACCGGCCTCCACGGCACCGACCAGCAATCAGCCTCACCGTGAGTACCGGCCTCCATGGCACCGACCAGCAATCTGCAAATATTAGCAGGACAACCCAAAGGAGGTTGCTTAAAATGTATCTTGTAGCTTTTTTTTTTTTGGAAATAAGACCAGCACATACATAGTGAAGTTGGCTTTTCAGCTGCTAAAGCAGCCCCACACCTGCACTGGAGTCTGTGGCTTTCTTCACTAGCTGGTGTGTGGCCACTAGCCCAAGTCTGAGAACCACTGATGAACGGTGAATATCAAACTGGTGCCACGCTCCCCAAAACTGTCCACACTACAGCGAAGAATGTCACATAACACAGGATTGCTGTGTTCTGGTTGACAGTTCAGAAATATTTTTAGATTGGTTAAGATAATTTACTAAAACGATCTCCAAATGCCTTCTCTAGTCTAAATTCAATGCAATAATCACTTTATATAATACAAATGGCTATGTATATTCTCTTTGAATTGCAAATGTGCAAGAGTGAGAGGGAAAGACATCATGCCAAGTCTGAACAAGTTCTATACACGCATCTCAGCAGAGCCCGTATCCAGGGGCAACTAATAACTGCTCCCTTCCCGGTTCCCTAGGCCTGAGGCTCTGGCCTTTGCTGCTAGAGGCTGGGGCCCTCTTCCCTCAGGACATGACCTACAGTGAGGACAGGCAGGAGTTAAGCAGGGAGGCGGGGAGGGGCAGAGACCCTAGAAGAAGACAGAGTGTGTGAAAAGCCTGGCCAGAGCAGGCTCGGCGGCCAGGGGCAGAGTGCAGGTGCAGGGCTGAGGGGACGCAGTGAGGATCAGGGGGACAGAGGGAGGCCGTGGACGGGGCGCCGAGCAATAATCACTTTATATTGTGAGGATGAGGCGAGGTTGGGGAAGCAGGCGGGGACGGGGTGGCACGAGGGAGGTGAGGCAGAGGAGGGTTGGGGGTGCCGGCCTTTGCAGGCTTCCAAGAGCATGGGCCACAGCAGTGTTGGGTCATCACCACATTTGAAGGCTCCAGTCTCCCTGCACTGACGGGGTGAACTCAGGGCGCCTGTGTAGATGTGAGCAAAGCTATCAGGAGGACGTTCCAGCAGCCAGGCCTGGTGCTGGCAATCTGTGTACATCCTGTGGGTGCCCCGCCCCCGCACTAACTGCCTGGGTTGGCAAGCAGAGCTCACGGGAGCCCAGAGCACAGCCTGCTGCGCATGTGCATGGCGGGAAGGTTTTGTGCTACCACGAAGAGCTGGGCATCCACAGCAGAGCTGAGCAGCTGCCGCAGATGCCGTGTGGCCAGGAAGTCCACAAGGTTCACTCTGTGGTCTTTGACGGAGAATGCTTGTGGATCCCACGTCTAGGCCCTTGTGGGTCAGTAGTTTACTTCTTCCGACTTCAAGGAGGACTGTGGGTGACTTCAGCCCACAGGTGGCTTGTGACTGGCACCTGAGGACAAGGCACAGGAGCGGAGACGCCTCTGCGGCGGCAGGAGCTTTACGTGTACTGTATGCTGTGACAACGGAACAGTGGGCTGGTATTTGCCACGTGCTTTCTGTTTCGTTCTTTCGTGGCTGATGACGGTAAATTAATCATTACTTGTATCGCTGGTGCAGAGTGGCAGAGGCAGACGAGAATTCGTCCAGAGGCTCAGTGAGCAGATGTCTCCAGGAGGCAGCTGCAGGGGAACTCAACACTTGCCAGGTTCCATGCAAAGCTATTAGCAGCTTTACTGAGAGCTGGCTGCACTGAAGTCAGATGAAAGTAAGATTTGTGGAAAGGCTGGCACTGGGCTCACACCTGTAATCCTAGCACATTGGGAGGCCAAGTCAGGCAGATTGCTTGGACTCAGGAACCTGAGAAGGGCAATATGGTGAAACCCCATCTCTACAGAATAAAAATAATCTGTGTTTAGTCGCACGCGTCTGTAGTACCAGCTACTTGGGAGGCTGCAGTGGGAGGATTGTCTGAGCCTGGAGGCTGAGGCTGCAGTGACCTGAAATCATGACACTGCACTCCAGCCCACTATCAGAGTGAGACCCTGTCTTTAAAAAAGAACTGTGGAAACTGAAGAGAGGGAAGCGAGAGACGGGCAGCCGCAGGGACTCTAGGGAGGTCAGCACTACCAGGCTGTCGGGAGGAGAGGCAGGCGGCCGTGCAGAAGGTGAGACACTCAGTGTCTGTGTTTAGCCAAGCACCTGAGTGTGTAAAACACAGATGGGGAGGCTGCAGCTGGAGAGGCTGACCACACATGAGGAAGGAAGGATGACCCCTGGCTCCAGGTTCCTGGCATGAGGGAACGCGGGCCGAGGGCCGTCTGCCGGGAGGACAGTCTGCCCACCGACCTCAGCAGGTGTGTGTCCAGGACCAGGGCCATGAGGTGCTCCGGTTTTGCTCCTAAGCTGGGAGAAAGTCACTCATTAAAAGTGAGGAGGAAGGGGAGGGGTGGCAGGCTTGAGGTATTAGTAGCTCTTGGTGATTCTCGTGAGGATTCACAGTTAACCCAGGTAAGGTACTCAGAACCACGCTGGGAGCACGGTGAGTGCTCAGGAACGCCATGCTCCCCACCTGGCTCCTCAGCACAGCACTTCCGTAACCTCTCCACATACGTCTTCCCTCCTGGACTTGTGGACTGTAAGCCCTGTAAATGCACGGGCTGTTATTTTTGGTCATAATAACATTACAAAATAGGCATTATGATGACTTCTCTTTTGAGACAGAGTCTCGCTCTGTCATCCAGGTTGGAGTGCAGTGGTGCGATCACAGCTTGACTCCCTGGGCTCAAGTGATCCTCTCACCTCAGCCTCCGAGTAGTGGGACTACCGGCTGCGTGTGTCACCATGCCCAGCTAATTTTTGTATTTTTTGTAGAGACAGGGTTTCCCCTGTTACCCAGGCT